GAATCCTCCTCCTCGTCCGTCGAGCACGACTCGTCTCTCAACGACGCCAGCGAATCCCCAGTCAACCGGCTCCTGTACTGCTGCACCACCAGAACCGAAGCACTCGTCCTCAACTCCGGCGAAATCAGCAAATTTCCGGCGGGCCCCAGCTCTGGGCACTCCCCATTCTTATCCAATCCCGCCGCCACCTCACCCTCCGGCATCCTCCCGACCACAAACAAGTTACAACGAACATTTTCCCGAATCACATCCACCACACCCCGATTATCACCAACCTCTTCGTACCCCACCGACCCATTTTCAGACACCCTAACCTTAAAATCCACGAGAAAATCCTCATCCTCCTCCGGTGGGCCGCCGCCGCTGCCGCTTTCGGGCCGGCCCACAAAACGAACAACATTCAGACGAATGCCCGTGTGCTCGGCCATAAGTGCCCCATACGAAAGCGCTTCCCTATCGTCAGCCCCACCAAAGAACAAAACTGTGACCGTGTAATCAACGTTGCTAGCCGAGACGTGAGCCGAGCCTCCAAGCCCTCGGTCGACAAGTATCCCGACCGAGCACGGTGCCTGCTCGAGAACCTTCCGGTTCACGAGCCTCAGGTCAGCTCGGGTCGTTTCGAACCGCCCGTCGAGCCCCTGGTGCTTGTGAAACGGAAGGATAATAATGGCAACTCGTTTTCGGTCGGCTCCCGAGCATATATCCTCGTGCATGCTCGACATAGGCGAGATGGCCGTCGTGGGACGAACCGTGACGTGGCTGAGGTGCTGGAAAGCTTCGAACGCCACCACGATTTGGTTCGAGTCCCCATTATTATTATTATTATTGTTGTTGTTCCAGAAGGGAAGCCCGTTTTTTCGGGCCTTGTGGACCATTAATATGGCGGAAGATCTCTCGGAGAGCTCCATCAAGTGCATGGCGTATACGCGGAGCCCGCCTTTTTTACCGGTCCCACGAGAGGCCTCCATGAGGTTTATTAAACTCGGGATGTTTCTCGTGCTGTGGAAACACGTCAGCATTTGGAGCTGTGTGTTCGGGTCTTTTCTCTGGATGGTTCGGTGCTTGTACTCTCGTTTTGCCATGGCGGCCGGTTTGTACACGGCCATTACGGTAGGAGTTGTGATGAACGTCGTGAAGAGAGCCATTAGAACCATGATGGCGAAAGTTTGATCATTCAAAACCTAAAGAGAAAAAAAAAAACGAGCGAAAATTAAAACAATGAAACAAAACAAAACACATAGTTTTAAATAAGTTGATGACTAGTTCCGTTATGGAATCATTCGTCAGTGTTTTTAACCGTAGATTACCTTGCCTACACTAATCTACATGTGTATCTGACTGTAACGGGACTCTAATCATTCTCTTTAAATAAGTAGTTACGTAAAAATTTACGAATTAGTCGAATAATTACCCCTCGGTCTTTCCCGATATTGAGGACGATGAGCTCGACGAGACCTTTCGTGTTCATCAAGAAACCTAACGTCACGGCCTCGACAAACGGGATCCCACTGAAACGAGACACCAAAACAGTGCCGACAATCTTCCCGAAACACGCGGTGAACACGACGAGCACGAATAGGCCCCACGACTGCGCCCCCTCGATAGTGGCCACGTTCGTCTTCAGCCCGCTCGACACAAAGTACAAAGGTAGAAAAAGTCCCGAGACGAGATCCTCCACTTTCTCCACGAGGGCCCCAGCAAAAGCCCCCCCTTCCTTCGGTACAAGTACACCAAGCACAAACGCCCCGAAAAGCGCGTGTATCCCAATCGCGTCGGTCAAAAACCCCGCCGCCAAAACGGCCGCTAAAGTCAAACACACGTAAATCTCATCCACGGGCTCGCCCTGCGGGCACCTCCGCGCGACCCACCGGAAAATGGGTGGGCCCACGAAGGTAAACGCGGTTAAAAACCCGAGCCCGCTCAGAAAGACCCAAAGGGAGACGATCGGGCTCCGGCCCGAGTCAGAGCCCGAAAGGGCCACGGCGAGCGCGAGGAGGATCCATGCCGCCACATCATTCACGGCGGCTGCTGACATAGCCATGCGGCCCACGTCGGTTGTAAGGAGTTTGAGCTCGGCTAGGATTCGGGCCAGGACAGGGAAGGCTGTTATGGAGAGGGCCACACCCATGAAGATGAGAAACGGGCCTTGGGCAACGTTTTGGGATATGGTGGCCCGGAGTACGAAGGAAGTCCCGATTCCTAAGGCGAAAGGGAGGCTGATTCCGGCGAGGGCGATGGCGACGGCTTTTTTACCCGTTCGGCGGAGGGATTTCGGGTCGAGCTCGAGCCCGACGAGGAAGAGGAAGAAGAGGAGGCCGAGGTTGGCTAGAGTGTCCAAGACGGTGAGGCTTTTTGGCGGGAAAATGGCGTGGAGGTATTTCTTGTTGCGGCCGAGGGCTGATGGGCCGAGTAGGATTCCACCCTGGCGAAAAAGTGTGTGTGTCAGTAGAATTTTCGGATGGTTCTTTTTTTTTTTTGCACTTCTTTTGTTAATCAGAGTACAGTCGGCAAAAGAGACATGTCTGTATTGTTCATCAATCCATGCATCTTTGCACATTTAAGGATTTTGAAGAAAAAATTCTCAAAAGATGGTCTGTTACTTTCTGCATGAATGAAAAGTGATAATGAACTTAACTCGGGACAGAAATGAAATTGACCAATGTTCAACTAATTTCTTCATGTTAAGGTTGAGAGAAGTAGCAAGTATTGAGTACATTAAGTGAAAGTAAAAAGAATTATTGAGCCTTTGTAATTTAGCAAAAGGTAATCCCTTGGTGGGATTGATTGGTTTTTGTCCTAGTTAAATTAAGGTTGTCATATAACATGAAAAAACGATCGACAACAATAAAGACTTTTAGCAAATGCTGCAAAAGCAAACAAAATAGTTGTCAAGACAATCAGACAATGCTGCATCAAATCAATAAACAACAAATCAAACAAAGCCAAAAAGAATGAAAGGAAAAAAGAATAACACATCTACAATGCAATTGCAGTAAGAAAACTCACGATAATCTCTGCAATGACCCGTGGCTGTCTTAATGGCCTGAGAAGATAGGCCAGCAGCCGAGTTAGAACGACTACTAAGCATATCTGTATGATCAAAAGGGGAAGCGCAAAATCGAGAGGATCATCCCCTTGGAACACTCCATTTGAGGTGGCTTTCATAGGTGCTGGGCATTTTACTGTTGCATTTGAAGCCATTTTGTAAGCTAGCTACTCAGAAGAAAGAAGTAGCAGCTTGTCTCAATTTGATACCTGCAAGTTCCAAATTCTGATCACTCCATAGTAGTATAAGTACCCCCCAAGAAATAAATAAATAAATAAAATGAGGAAAAAAAGAATAGAGAAGAATGCTCCTTTGGTTTTGGATGAAATTCTTAAATCTCACATCTAATAGGCACCTCAGGTCAAAAAAGCATGCTATGAAAACCCACCAAATTGAATACTTAATAACTTATAGCAAGTTTATTTGGAACCGGAAGTGCATGGTCTTATCAATACAAGCAAACTAGATACTAAGGGTGTGTAAGCAAACTCTTAGCAAAGAAAAAAAGAAAAGGAAAGTGAAGCTGGAAATGGGATTAAAGTATAATATATTCTCAGTTATCAGATGAGTCCTTGATTAAGAACGTTGATCAGATAAGCGATAACATTGTTTAGTCACTTATTTTCAAACTTGAAGTAACTAAACAGAGAACAAAGAAATAATCTTTTTAAGGAAAAGAATATTAAAAGGGTCTTATCTCTATACTGCAAGACAACAAGGGATCTTTTTTTACTTTCATATTTTATCATCAACTAATAAATGAGCCACATCTATTCACTGTAGCCGAGGAGGAGGCTATGCAAAGTCAAAAAAACAAGATTGATTACTTTACAATCATACCAAACCTTAAGGCAAAAGAACATGAAATGAACATCACAGAACTGTTTAAGATTGACAAAAGGGAAAACATATGCACAAAATTAGAAAAATTAGATTAATATGTAAAACTAAAACAGTGTTCTTGGATTGATCTAACGATCAATTCCCAGCTATCACTCTCAAATGGATTTGCTCTGTAAAATAAACAATTTTGATATTTTTTTTTTCAAAATAAAATCGTAGGGACCCCATAGTTGACCCTTCACCATTAAATAATTCAATATCACAAATAGCTTCAATGCAACTTGTCAAATCCCAGCTCATAAACCCGCCCTGGCCTCTACATGCGTGCCGCATACACACGCCACCGCTTTTCAATTTCTTCAACACTAATTATTAAAAAAAAAAAGGGTTTATCATATCATACCAAATACCCCAATTTCAGCACATAAACAATAAATAGACTTTGTAGCACAAAGACTTTAGTGCCCTTTTACGGACCATAAAAAAATTAGAGAGTAAAAAATGACCGAACAGAAAATCAAGATCGAATCTTTATACAGATTCATCCGGACCCTTTTGAATCTAAGCCTTCTATGTGAAGCACTTTGAGTCTCACACGTGTTTTTGTACGTGGGCTGTGTGTGTTTTCTGTCAAGATTTCTATTTTCTTTCTCTAATTGCAGAATGTGTAGAGAGAGAGAGAAACCTGAGTTCTTGAAATTCCCATCAACAGCTCGACGTTTTTTTTTTTTTGGCAAAACCCTGTTAAAAAAGACACAAAAAATGGTTTATATCTGGTGATTACTACAAAACGAAACGTGGATGAAAGAGAGAGATTGTTCCAGGGAGCGAGGGAGAAGAAGACAAAACTGGATTTTACAAGGTCGACGAATTTATAGAGCCATGAAAATTATTTGACGATAATGCCCTCCGATCCATTTTTGTTTTCTGGGTTTGTATATAGATTATTTCCGATTTTACCTAGTTGGATAAAAATATTTAAATATTTTTATTAAAATCATAATAATATACTATTGTATGCGGGTAAGGTTATAATCCAGTTACGGAACTATTCCGTTGTGATTTGTAACCGTTAGATCAATGGAATGGTTCCGTAACAGAATTGTAGCATTTTCATGTATTTTTAGAAAAGAATCAATATTCATCTAATACAATAATATAGGGTTGTATTTTTGAAGAAGTTCAGCATTCATTAATCTTACTTCTTCTACTCAACTAGTACTCATCCCGTGCATTTGCACGAAAAAAAAATTTGAATTACGAAAATGATTCTAAATATTATTAAACACTTTTGTATATACAACATTCATGGTTTTCATATCGTCGGAATCACCATCACCACATCTCATTATCTTCAAACTCTTTCGATTCGTGACTCTACAAAGAGAAACGTACAACTGTCCATGACTGAAAACAGGGTTCGTCAAGACTAAGCCGACGTGTGAGAGGGACTGGTCTTGACCCTTGTTGATCGTCATAGCATAGGAGATCATGATAAGATCTGAAACTTGAACGATACCCTCAATATTTGTCATAATCATGCTCTTTTCTTTGTATTTTCGGTGAGATATTCCAATCAAATTCTAAATATTTTAAAAAAATAAAAAATTTCAAACAAAACATAGATATAACATCAAAATCATTCCGATTTTACAATTTTATTGTAAATCATAGTAAAACAGTTCAAATCGGGATATTACATAAAAGATCTATCAAGATCTGAAATTTTTTATTTTGATTTAAGATTGTCGTCCCTATTCAGCTAAAATGCATCAATGAATCATAAGAAAATGGTTCAATCGAACGATTATAGTACAGATCTATCATGATCTGTAATCTTTGTTAAGAATTTACGATTTTTTAATTTTTTTTTGTAAACCCGTGTTTTCAGTTAATTTCAGAAGTCGATTTGATATTTTTTGTTTTTAAGTTGTTTCCCTATTTTGCTAACATACTTCAATGAATCATAAGAAAATGGTTCAATAAGACGGTTATAGTGCGGATCTATCAAGATCTGTAATGTTTGTTAAGAATATATGTTTTTTTTAACCGTGTTTTCACTTGATTTTAGAAGTAGATTAGATATAAAATCTTATTTTAATGTTTGTTTTGTCGTTTTCTTTAAAAAACTTATGAAATATCTACATAATTTGATTTTTATGGTCAAAACATAGATTTGTTTTTGCAAAAAATGAATGGATATTGTTATATTTAAAGATGTTCTTATGGCTTTCCTTTACTTTAATTTTAAGGATGCGCGATTAAACAGAGGTTAAAACACTCAAAAAAAAGAAAATAAATAAAGCAACAAAAAAGTAAAAAAATAATATCATTCTTGAATTTTGTAGGGAATAAATAAAAAGTGCAATTACAACAAAAACCAATGACTCATCAAGTCAACCAAAAAAAAAATTCATCAAAATCAGATTTTTTTCAGCTAAGCAGGTAAAAAAAGCTAAATTATTTAACCAATATATATAACAAATAAGAAAAAGGGTAATTATTTACATTTTTAAATTTTATGAAAAAATAAGAGAAATGGTAATTACAACAAAACCCATGACTCATAGGTGGATAATATAATTAAGTGCAGTATAATATAATTAAATAAGAAAAACGGTAACTGTTTTAGGCAGGATGCGATATTGTTTTTTTCATTGCAAAGTGAATCATCGAAATGCAAAACGGGTGTGCAATGGTGATCTATCATCCCATGTAGGCCAAAAATGCCAACGTCTTATTCATTGAATTGTAGGGAAAAAAAAAATAGCATCATAGAAGTTGTCAATTTAACTACAATTGAGATTTTAAGTGACATTTTAAAACTTTATAAGATTTAAGACTTTTTAGGATTTTCAAATTTTGGAAGAATTCTATGAAATCTTAAAGTCCGGATGTAGGATTTGGAGTGATATTTCGTATAAGGTTTTTTGTTTAGAAATTCTACCAAATCTTAAAAAGTCTTAATAAATTCTAGTGCAAAATAAATTAAATAACTCAAGATTTTATAAGACTTTAAAATTCCTATTGAATACTCCAGAATTTTTAAAAATTTTAATAAATCTAAATTGAATACACCAGAATTTTTAAAATCTTAAAATATCCTTAAAAATCATAATTAATTGATTACACTCCCTACGTTTTATTTTTTGAAATTAGAATAAAAAACTAGGTTATATGGTACAAATTATAATTTTGTGGCTCTTATAAATCCAAAATAAAGGAGCCATGCAAATTGATTTGTTAAAGTCAATTCCACAACTTAATGAGGACTCGTGAAAAGGATAAAAAAGGGAGTCCAAAAAGGCAAAAAGAGCACTAAAAAGATTTTAGTACCGCAGAGTTTCATATATCCCATGTGATTATGTGAACTGTTTNTCGCTCAAAAAATGCCTCATTTTCTAATTTTAGTACAACTTATCGATTATTAAATTTCATATTAAAAAATAAAATTCAACACGTAAGTACTATTCAATCGATGATAGAGACTACTAGAAGCGGTGTGATGTGTACGAGTTTAAAAGCTCGTGATACTCAAGTTCTAGCTAAAAGACGATGCATCTGATTTTCATGTATTGAGCGCGATTGGATATAAGTTATTTTCAATTTCATATTATAATGTTTTTTTCGTCGAGACTTAATTAGATACACATTTTTTCAAAAAATAAAAAAACACTAGATCCATTTTTTTCACCCCAATCTTATCAATACAATTAAATAAAAAAAAATTATCTACTAAACATTTTTAACAAAACTATTAATCCACTCAAATGTTTTAAAACTACTCATAATTTACATTCATCATTAAGCTATTTTTCTGATTGTATCAACTTTAATAATTACATTTGATCTCATACATCTCACGAAGAGAAAGGAGTATAAACATATTCCAGGTCACTAAGATAACTGGGCCTTGATTGGGCCATACAACCGTCTATACCCATAAACATGTCACCAACCCCACAAATTATACCCAAACAATATATTTCAGTAACCATGCACAAAACTCAGATAAGTAAAATAAAATAAAAAATTATTGAACCTCCTGCAAAAATGCTTCTCAATACCAAGTTGTGCCTCCAATATTTGAATCACTACATTGAGAAGACAAATGAGGCTTCGTTTTAACCGGGTCACCTTCAATAATCGAGAGAGTTTTCTCGTCCAAATCTATCACAACTGTGCATAGGGTGTGAAGTAATGGACCTGAAATATTACACGAAAAAAGGATGCACAATATTTTTCACACTTCTTATGATACTTGAAAAAAAAAATATCATTCAATAACTTGTACGGTTTCGTTTTCACAAACCTGTCATGTAGATTGGATATTTCATGTCGTTTTTATCTGCGAGAAAAGAAAGAACATCGCCTTTTGATCCCTTAGGCAGCATATCAGCTCTTTTATGTCTACTCAGTGAATTCTTATCATGGTCCTTCACAATACATTTTTCAGAGAAGGCATATAAATAATCAAGCTCATGCTAATATATTGATATGCCAAAATAACCTTTGAGTGAAACTTAGTTACAAAAAGGACCCCAGTTATTCTCAACATTTAAAAGGAAGTATTTGTCATTTCGAAAGAAAATGGGGAATTTTTTAGTAATTACTAATTAGACAAAACCTCGGGTGGTTTATGAAATTATCATTTTTCATAAATGCATTAACAAACAAAAATCATTTGTACCTGCTGAACTTTGAGATGAAGGTACATATATTGGCATGAAAAAATGGCTCTGCCCCAACTTCACGAACCGAATAACGATTTCTTGATGATGATTCTACATTCAAAATTCTTCGGCTGTTTATGTCGATAAGATTGTAACTGTGTCCTATGGAAGCTTCGGATGAACAAATTTTCTGAAGCCAGGAACACACAATTCACAATTGTTCCTGTCAGAATAAGTAACTCTTGTATAGAATTCTTATGTACGGTTAAAGAAAAGAATCAACCCCTTAGCTTTATAAGCCTAATTACAGAAAACTCTGGTTTCTTCCTAAGTTACAAATGCTCCCTAAGTTAGTTACAGAATAAAATCTATCCTCGAGGGCACAGTTTTGTAAAATAATCAATGAGATAAGGAATTTCGGAAGATAAAGTAGTTTTACTTCTGAAATTAAGCTAAGACCTTATAAGGGATAAGTGTTTGTAAATATCTAGAATTTCTTTATTTCTGCGTACTTACTGTTAAGGCATCGTCAATATTTCGCGCTTCAAACAAGTCTCGGGAGATAAAGTTTCTACCTATGGCCCCACTTTCAATCTCATGCACACAAGGTGGAACAGAATTCAATGTGAATGCCTGCAGAAAATATGATTTCTCAACCTAAACAGAAACATATATATATTAATTACCACCTACATTCTTTAGACTTCTAATGTACATTAATTACCAAAAATACAAACATATATACTACTTAGTTATTAAAAAACACAAAAGAGGTTTTTGTATGTGCTCTCTCGGTGAACAACATTAAACTCTTAATAACATACGAGTAATCGAGTACCAGGCCATGACTATTGTAACCAAACGCACAGCTCGGGAGCTCTCCTGCATATGTATAAGCAGTGAAGGATCCTCCATTCGGCAGAATTCCCTTAATCAAATATCTGACACAAACGCACACAATAAAAATAAAATAAAAAAAGTTCACCATCAAGAATGTCCTTTTTTATTTCATCTTTTTCTCATCAAAACTCGAACACACATTACAATTGAAGACAAAAAATGGTTACAAAAGCACAAACATACGTATGTCCAACGAGCACGACATTTGCATCCTCGTTGTGAGCTGCAACAGCCATGTAATCGCTAACGATAAGAATATCCGAACAATCGTCAATTGTTTCATTTACGCAATTACTTTCTGCCTTTGGAATAAAGGGAAGTATTTCTTTCCTGAAATTAAGCAGCATTATCTGCACACAAAAAAAAAGAAGCAACTTTTTTTTTTCTTTTCAAATTTTTCCACTGTATTTCATTCATCTAGCATTCAAATAGTACCAACACATTCCACATTCACACAACAGCATCACATAAAAAACACTCCTCAGATAACAAGAGATGCAAATTACAATAACAATTAACAACATTATCTTAAAAAAAAACACAAAAAAGGCGTTAACTTTACCTCAAGAAAGGGGACCCCACTTCCTGTAGCGGTCCCCCGGAGCTCGTCCCAGTAATTTGGGTACTTTCTCATATTTTTCTCCGAAAGTGATTCGAGGAGCGAGTGTGATTTTGGCGAGCGGGTAAAAGGGAGAAGCTGGGTTTGCAAGATTAGGTCTTTGGACAGCCTGCTTTTGATCTGTTGGGAAAATCTCTGACCGATTGAAAAACCCAGTTCGTAGCCATTTCTATAAGGGCCAACTTCAAATATCTCCAAGCTTTTCATTCTTGCAACGTTAATGATTTTTTGTTCTCTGTTTGGATGTTGTGCGATTTTTGCAGGGATGAAAGGAGAGCATTTTTCGCACCTTATCTTGATACTAAAATCGCTATTCAAATTACTAGTCACGTTTCTTCATGTGCACCTTACCTAAACAATTTGAATGTGTCGATGTATATATTTCCATTAGCACGAGCAGTCTTACGGTTACACTAGTCAACTAGTGAGTAGGGACTAGTCATATTTTTATGAATAAAAATATATGTTTATTATTTATATTAAAAAATATCATATTTTTATCTAAATTGCCATTTAAAGTGTCACTTGTGTGTAAAAGAGTATACATATATGTTAAAAATTATGAATGACTAACAACTTTACCGCTACAAAAGTTATTTCAACGCAGAGAAATTTGTCAAAGAAAAATATTTAAAATCCGGGTAAGTATTACAATGGAACAAAAATACTGGAATCACTAATGTATACTTATGCTATACTAATTGAGAAATTTGGCAAAGAGATATGTTAGGTAGACTGATACGCCATATTTTTACAAAATTGTATATATATGCTATGAATTGTCGTACACTCATACTTCTATTTATGTTATTTTTTAAAACATAGTGTTTGTTTAAAAATATGTAAATCTGTTGAAAAAGCACGAATGTTTAATTATTAGAGTTACCAAATATCAATCTTAGTGAAGAGATTTTACAATACCGCATATCAAAATCATGAATTAAACAAGAAAATAGATCAAAGATTGAGTTAAAACACATGAAATAAATAATCAAGAATCATTAAAAAATACAACTAGGAATTGAAAGGGAGCTCCCTTCAGTCCAAGAATAGGAAGCTTAAGATTCAACTTGACTCCCGACTCATTCACTCAGTTGCTGAGTTTAACCATAAGTTAGGTAACTCGACATTTGGATGAATGAGTAGGCAGCAAATTGAATCGTATTGCACCCTCTTATGGACTAAAGAAAGCTCCCTTTGATTATGAAATCATACTTGAATGATAATTACTCTCTTATTAAAGGTACTATGGAGAAGATAACAAATCCACTTATATATGAAATACGGGTAAAAATTCTTTTATGAGAAATACAATGGAGAAGATAATACATATACTGATATCAGACCTTAATTGTCTAAAAAAAAAAATTGTTTTGATCACAAACAAGATTTGAGCCTAGATGGTTGTATTATAAAGGAATTAGAGTTATGGGGAGGCACTTAATTTAGGTTAATATGTTTTTATGTGGATAACCTGGCTTTATATAGATATGAAAACATAGGGATGAGACAAATATTATTTAGTATTGCTGTAATGAAATAAAGAGATTCATATTCCTTCATGTTTAGTATGTCCATCCAAATTAAAAGAGGCCAATCTCCTGAAAATGCCACTGCTTTTTGAAACATTTTAAAATTCAAACAACAACCAAGGCATGTGTCATATATTGATTGGCAATTTGTCCTTAGGAGAAAATGGAATTGGCTCGTTACACCATCACAATTATTTGGAATTGTTAGCAAAATGCTCAACGTTAGTCGTTTCCTTGGTGTAGACAATTTTCTTGTCATAAAAGAGGCAGACCCTCATATTTGGCCGATCCTTTGTCATAAAAAAGAGGTGGACCTTCATATGCGGTCAATCTCTCGTCATCAAAATGAGACGGACACTCATATTCAGTCGACTGTTGGGTGTGCAAACCCAATCCCACATCGAAAGATTAAAAATTTCCAAGTTAATATATAGCTTGGTGGGCTACTCCTCCTATTGCCAATTGGTTTTAGAATGGAACTCCATTTGGGCTTGTATGTTGGGCTTGATGGAGAACTGAGTTTTGAGTTGTCGGTCCCAATAATTGGTATCAGAGCCACGGTTGGTAGCCCAGTTGCAATGTGGATGACGTGGCATGTTCCCCGTGGAGTCGAAATGGCCGGTGGATCCGTGTGCCTTGTGTCGAAAGTCTTCCTGGCGAAAAGGTGTGGTCAGGCGGCGGGTTCCGTGGGTGATAACGACGGTACAAGATGGTCGGATCGTATGAATTTCGTTCAAGAGGAGGCCCAATGTGGTCTTGTGTTTGAGGGGAGGTTTGTTGGGTGTGCAAACCCAATCCCACATCGAAAGATTAAAAATTTCCAAGTCAATATATAAGGTTGGTGGGCTACTCCTTCTACTGCCAATTGGTTTTAGAATGGAACCCCATTTGAGCTTGTATGTTGGGCTTGATGGGGAGCTGACTTTTGAGTTGTCGGTCCCAACATCGACCTCTTGTCATCCAAGAGCCGCCGGAGAATTCTGAGATCTCGACCTAGAAAAAAGTCTCCCATCATTGATCGTCGGCGAAATAGTCCTCGTCCCGTGTCACCATATTACCAAAAGGATGTACCTCGGATATAGTAACGTAAAAGTCACCACGATCAACAAACGATGCGCAACGAATGTCTGAAGCCCGTGGCCCAATGCGTCGATGGCGGCGTCATGTCTATCGTCTGTAACATCATGAATCGTACTGGTCTTCTAATACCAATTGACGTAGCGAAAGCGTAACGAATGCGATAAAACAAGAAAAAGAATCTCAAATGTCTAATCTAATTCAACTCATCGAAACACAAAAAAATATGAGTCTTTAAATAGAACTCTTAAAAAATCTTATCTTGTCTAACAAGTAAAAGATAATTAAATATTTTTCCTACCAAATAAAAGACAAAATAATTAAATAATTTTACTAACAAATCTAATTAAAATACTAACAAATAAAAGGAATAAATATTTAAATTAAAAATTTCAAAGATTATGTTTACTAGTATTCGATCCTGTGCATATGCACAAATGCCAATAAAATATTATACGTTATACATATGTGTGTTTAATATTTCAAATCATAAAGTAGATAATGAACATATCACATTTTATAAATATTATCATTATAAAAAATGAATGATATAAATATAAATTATTTAACTTACATATTAATCTTTATATTGATAACCTTGACTGATTATGACCAATTAATTGGATAGAATAATCATGAAATTATTATTATACCAGTTGCGTACTAAATATTAAAGGGTTTGATTATGTCATGAGAAATAATTAACTAATTTTAATAAAAAAAAAAAAAGCTTGCTTAATAAGTTGGAAAAAAAATAATTTAAATAAATAATTTGAAAAAATATTCAGAATATATAACATTTAATGTTACTTTATTATTAGTTAATAGTAATATGATTAATGCAAAAGTAACGAAAAATGCATGGAAACACAAAGAGTTTTATTAAATTCTTTTCTGACAATTTTATGCATATAGAGAGAGATTACAGAAGTGGGTTACATCTCCCAAATAAAGGGAACTACAATGGAATCAATTGTAATGTGATAACATCACAAAAATATATAAGTGGTGACTGTCTTTAATTTACTTTAATAAAGAGTTGCAAAATAAAAATGCTCTCATCACTCAAGATGCCGATTACAATGAGATTTTCTATAGATTAACATAATGCGAGTGCCCGATTTAGTACTTTAAAGTACAATCAAGAAATATACCTCTCGTATTAATCCCCTACAAACCTAAAGTTTGTAGGCATTTGGCTATATATAATGGACCATAAAATTCCATATGTCGGAATTTATAGTTAAATATTATGGATATTTTCCCTAAATAGTTAAGGCATATTGCCCGTAGGTGACATTTTATTTTATTAATTGCATGATGCAAAGCATAAAGTATGAGGCGACACCACTTTTGACTATTTCATTATTGGAATCACGAAAACATTAAATTCAAACTGATAAACAATCACTAAATCAAAAAAATTGAGATGGAAAAGTGAAAGAAAATAAATAAATTTGAGACTGAATGAATATAAGATAAAAATGTTATGATTAAAAATATTAAAATATTAATTGTTTGTAGTGATAATTAGAAATATGTGAAAGAAATAATTATAGTTTTAATCTAATAATAATAATTTTTACTTTTGTTAATAGTGTGAGGAAAAAGTAAGATGAAATGAATAGTATTTTTTTCCTTTTTTTTTTCAGTTGTTTGAATGGGATAAGTCATGGCTGGACAGGCAAAACTAACAAATTTTCCTATAACCACTCACATTTTTTTATGTTTTTCTTTTTATGTTTGAGTATGTGGAATATATGGTGCAATATATAATAATTACGGAAAATACTATCATTCCATAACGAGATGGTTCCATTATCTTTTCAACCACTTAGATTACACCACGTGTGTAGTTAAAATATAACTTTCATGTATCTAAAGGTCAGTAATAATTGTGGATAATCCAACCATCTAAAATAAATGAACGGAATCATACTGTTAAGGGACTGTAGCCATCCCCAATAAATACATCCTTTTATACACAATATATATCTATCATTATATAAAAAGAATAACTTTTTTATAAATTTAGAAACTTTTTCCCGCCAAAATCATTAAATATATCCTACATATAGTAATTGTTGGACAAATCTGAATAGGCAAAAAAATCGGCTCATTAATTGTGTAAAGATTTGTTTCTCCTGTTTTTTAGTTTATCAAAACCGTTGTTTGACTTATATTTGTTTTTCTTTTTCCTATTTTTAGTATAAATCTACACGAGCTTATCTCTTCTGTTACAAAATCTCATTGCATACCGTGTTTAAAAAATCTCATCCCTTATCTATACAGATTTGAAAAAATAAAATAAAATAGAAACCAATTCATAATTACTACTAGAAATCCATTATCTTTAAAAAAAAATAAAATAAAATAGAAACCAATTCATAATTACTACTAGAAATCAATTATCTACTTTAAGAAGCTATCCATTATCTTTAAAAAGAAAAAATAAAATAAAATAGAAACCAATTCATAATTACTACTAGAAATCCATTATCTACTTTAAGAAGCTAATTTTCATCGGTCTAATTACTAATATTTTTACAAATATTATAAGCTAACCATACAAAAAAGTATAATAATAATTTTGAGATGGTGTGTAATCAAATTTTTTATATTCTCTTATACAAAATAATTTTAGATTGTTTGACCCCGAATCTTTAATTTATAATTATTAAGTATTGTTTATCCTCCTTTTTAATTTATAATTATTTTTTTTCTTCCTCTTTTTAAATAGGAGCAATAGTAATTTCCACTCCCGCCATTGAGTGACTCAAACTCGAGGTCTATTTATAATATTGTTAATTTAATATTGTTCTCGTGTATTCCACAGGTACACACTAGTTAAGAATAAAGGTAAGAACATAACATATGAATAGAGTTAGCATTATCATGGGTCGTATTTAGAATTTTGTTTGTAAACATCATGAAAATAGAAATGATAAGGACCACGAAGAACAAGAAAAATGTCTTTTCGCATGGAACATCATATTCTTTTTTGTCTCTCTTCTAGCTTAAATTCTTTTGTTCGAATCAAACTTCATTTCACTAAATCATTAATTAACTAGATATTGACGCAGGTTATTCTTATTCCATAAAAATTGAATAGTTTGGAGCAATAAAATTCCATTTTAAAGAAACTTGTAGCTGAGTCCATAAGATAAAAACATGCTTGTTTGAGTTGTTCCATTATTTTGCATTACCAAATGTCATCCCTTTTTATTTTCATTTCTAATGTAGGATTCGGTGGCGATTGGTATTTTTGTGAGATAGAGATTTCTTGTTTTAATTTCACGTTTTCATTCAGATTTTGACAAATGACGCGTATATATGATGATATCATATATATATATATTATTCATTTTGTACTATAAAAACAAGAGATTAAATATGAAAAGTAAAAAGAAGATATGTTCCCATTTGCAAATGAAAAACCGAAAAATAGTATTGTTTCTGTAATCATGTTAATAACTTCTTGGAACATGTAAGTTGCGATTTCTTTGAATCAACCAACATATTTTCCTAGTTTACCATTTCAATAAAAGGCTAAATAATATGGGCTAACTACTCTAAAGATAATGGGCTACAGCCTAACTAGTTACTAGTTAAATTCTAAATGGGCTTAAATGTGAATGGGGTGTGAGCAAGGGCTCGTGGGGTTTCGGCCTGTTCAAAGTTCAAACTGCTAATTGCTGATGTAACATATATAATTGTGGTTTAAAAGTTTTGTATTTAGATTTTGAGCGGTATATATAATTTATGCTTTAAATTTTAAGAAGTTAAATACTCCACGAATTTTTAAACTTTTAATATCTCATTTAATAACTCAAATCTTGTAAGTCTTAAAAAAAATTAAATTAATATATCAAAATTTCTACGTCATTTTAAAATTTTAATTTATACAACTTATTAATTCAGCCATACCTCGCACATGCTCGACTTGATAGTCGGTGTTAAAAACAGCAGAAATAATGACTAAATAAAGACAAAAAACCCTCCAAATTTTCTCTCTCCTCACCAATTGCTACGTCATTTTAATTGCGTTTCTCTCTCTTCTTTTCTCCTCTCTCCACACTCCAGAAAACCTCTGCCATGGGGAAAAGATAAAAAAATGATGTTCAGTTCATTTTAAGGAAGATAGGCACGTAAAATCTAGAAATCTTGAGGAAAAAAATAATTTTGTTTGAGCCCATCACGGTTTTTGATGGAGCCGCTCGCTTTTTTGGATTCCGGGTCGCCGGAACCCTCATCGGATTTCGCTTTCGCGTTCAACGACGTCAATTTCTCGGACAGGATCCTCCGGATTGAGATCCTGCCCGATTCTCCCGGGTCCAAACCCGACCCTGACGTCAGCCTCGCCGATTGGGCCAGGAACCGGAAACGCCGACGTGATGATCAGCTCGCCATTGTGAACGGTATTCCGTTGCTTCTTTTCTTATTTTGCACGGATTCGATTGGTTTTATGCATTTTGTGATATGTACTGTTCTGTTATTTGCTTGATGTAATTCTTTTTGTTTTATGGGGGAGAAATTGTGTTTTGAGGGAGGTTTTGGGGGATTTTTAATGCGTCTCTTCCATATTCGTGATTGTTTGACAAATATGTTATATTTGTGATTGAATGTTCAAATGGGGTGATAAAAATGTGGTATTTTGAAGTTTTTATCAGGGATGTTATGTGCATTAGAAATATAGAATTGTGTTCCCAAAAGAAGGGCCCAAAAAAGGAAGGGATCTTCAAATACATAGGATAATTGTCTTTTGATGTGGACCCTTCTCTGTTACATGTGGATACTTCGCCTTTGAAATCCGATTGGTGGAGATCGGGATAAAAGAAATTTACACGGTAGAACTTACGAGAAAGGGAAATTACGATCTTGTCAATAGTTTTATGCTACCCATGTAATAGTTTCCCTAGTTTTGGCGAGAGTGAGTTTGTTTGGTCAGTGAGTATTTCGCAGCACATACAAATTAAATTTTACTTTGGAAGATTTTCAAAATATACTACTCATGCATGGCGCACAAGAATTCCCCAGTGGCTTTATGAATTTAGTGACACATTTCTAGTGTGCTTGAGAGTTTATAATCCTTGAGACTGATTTCTCTAGTCACTGTTATTCTTTTACTAGAACCAACCTTTGAGGAAAAAATGAAACTAATGGGAAATAGAAATGGTCAGGAAATTAGAAGCTAGTAATAACAAGGACTCACCTTATCTTTTTTTTTTCCCTTGAGAAATCTTATATGGAGACAGAATGTGCTTTTCTGGTGAAAAGTACCACAACTTAGTGTTCCTGTTTCGAGATAGACATAAAGTATGAGTAAATTGAAATCCTGATTTGCACTTTTGATCAGGCAATAACGTTTGTGAATTTGTATCGATATATAAATCTCCTTATAAGTTGTACTGAACACTGACGCAGCAAGATCTATTAAATTTTTACATTAGTTAAGTTTTCTCTACTCTGAATTTAGTGTGTAGCTGGTCAGATAAATCTGAATAAATGAAATCCGCAATCCATTTCGTTTGTTATTTTTGCTATACTTTTTCCTTTTCTTTTGTCATTTCTGAAACTGTTGCCATTCTTAGAGGAAGTTTGAGCCCTATATACCATACATGAATATAATTTTTATGTAATTCTGTTAAGTTATATGCGATGAATAATGGGGATAGGCGTACAAAATGAAGCAACTCCTATTGAAAATCTTTTGATTTATGACTTGTACATTCTATAGAAAATATTCTTCTTTGTCAAGTATGAGGCTGTTGATTGTTGATATCGATCATGTTTTTATGCTGTACAGAACCTCCCGAACAATGTGAAGAACAGGTTCTGAATTGCATTATGCCGGATTTGGAAGAAGCAGTTGCTTATGAGAATCAAGAAGAAGAAGAAGCTGTTGCAATGGTTGAGGAGTTACCTTTGGATGCAGAAGTTACAGTACATGGATCAGGTACATCATAAATATCCTTTTTTATTAGGATTTGATTATTACCTGTCAAACATTGTTCACTAGTTAAGTTTTCTTCCTTGATAAATTGATTTTAGTTTTTCAGTAAATTTTTGTTTATCTAGAGTGTCAGAGCACCTGAATTAGATGCTTATCCTGCCCTATTTATTCTTCTGAATCTATGTATTAAAATTCTGAGACATTTTTTATGATCGTGTTTTCTGAAAGCAGAATGGTTACAAAAGTTTAATTTGACAATCTTTTAGGTCATGAAGCTGAAGGAAATAAAGAATCATCTAGCATAGATCACTCAGCAATTCAAGTTAAGACACTCCACATCAGCTCTCCAATTTTGGCAGCAAAGAGTCCGTTTTTCTATGAGGTTCGTCGTGTTTAGTAGGACTAATTTGCTTCATTTTTATTTTCCCCCGTAACTTTATATTGATTCTTGTGTTTCGGTGTTCATCGGCTTTTCAGTTGTTCTCAAATGGTACGAAGGAGTCTGAGCAGCGATATGTAACTCTAAGGATTCAGGCCTCAGGTAAACCATTTCATCGAGTGAATTTGAAACTCTTACATCAAGAGACTGCTGATATTATTTTCTTTTCTGATGACAAGGCATTCACATGGCTCATTACCTTCTCTTCTCTAACCTTTTTTAAGTTGTAATGTTTATCAAATATTTTTCCAAAGCTACTTGCATGGAGAAGCCTACAAATTTCTAATAGCAAAAATATCTAATGATGTTTGTGAATTCCATTTTGAGAAATTGGTTATTTGGTGCGAGGCACACTCTTGGCCTATATTGATTCGCCAAGCGATCTCCTAAAACTGAATCTTAGAATTAAAAGCAGTTCTAAACATAACAAAAGAATCTCGAAAACTAAAATAGCCGAAAGTCCTAAAACAAATAAAAAATAAAAACTATAAACCTTTGAAAACCCTAAACAACTAGAAACCTGAAAGGACACTTAAAAGTAAAAACTAGGAAGGAGAAAATTAAAAGGTTACAGAGATTCTAGTCTTGAGGTGTGTAGCTTGCTTTAAATGTACACTACATATGAAAACTAAAANATTTCTGGTAAGCAGAGGAAACAGCCCTCATGGATTTGCTGAACTTCATATACAGCAATACTCTACCCAGAACCACACCAACTGCTTTACTGGACGTGATGATGGCGGCTGATAAATTCGAGGTGGCTTCATGTATGAGATACTGTAGCCGATTATTGCGCCACATGCCAATGACCTGTGAATCGGCTTTGCTTTATTTAGATCTCCCATCAACCGTTCTAATGTCTGAAACGGTTTTGCCTCTCATGGATGCTGCCAAACAGTACCTTGCATCACGTTTCAAGGACCTAAGCAAGTAAGCAACTTTTTTTCTCGATCTAAATTTACTGTATCTATACTTCTTTGGTTTCAAACTTTCAACCAATCAAATGTTGCTTGAAATGATTTCAATCTTCCACAAAACTGTTGTGAATTTTAAGGCATAAATGCATTCTTTAGTCCTTTTGGTTTAACGCCATAGCAATTTTAGTCCCATGATTCCAACTTTTCGCCATTTGGTCCTGTAATTTAATATTTTGTTGCAATTTTAGTAGTCCTTTGAGGACTGAAATTGCCACAAATTTTTAAATTACAGGATTGAAATTGCAACGAAATTTTAAGTTATGGGACTTAAATTGCTAATTTAAAATCTGGGAATTTGTTGCAATTTCAGTTTTTTGTGGACTGAAATTGCAACAAAATATTAAATCATAGGGCCAAAAAGCGAAATGTTGGAACCTTGGGACTAAAATTTCTATGGCGTTAAACCAACAGGACTAATAATGCAATTTTTGCCGAATTTCAATCGTCAGTAACATTCTTTTTTTTTTTTTTTTNACCTTACAACAAATTGCTTCGCCAGGTATCACGAAGAGGTCCTAAACCTTCCACTCGCCGGCATCGAGGCTGTCCTATCAAGCGACGACCTGCAAGTGGCCTCCGAGGATGCAGTCTACGACTTCGTCCTCAAGTGGGCCCGGGCCCACTACCCGAGGCCCGACGAGCGCCGTGAAATCCTTACCACCCGTCTTCTCCGCCTCGTCCGCTTCCCGTGCATGACCTGCCGAAAGCTCAAAAAAGTCCTCACGTGCAGCGACATCGACCCTGAGGTAGCCTCCAAAGTCGTGCTCGATGCTCTCTTCTTCAAGGCCGAGGCTCCCTACCGCCAGCGGGCCCTTGTGGCAGACGACTCGGGCCCATCCATCCGCCGATTCACCGAACGGGCCTACAAGTACAGGCCCGTTAAGGTCATCGAGTTCGAAGTGCCACGTCATCAGTGCGTGGTCTACCTGGACTTGAAGCGGGAGGAGTGCGTGCAGCTGTTTCCTTCGGGCCGGGTTTACTCACAGGCTTTTCACATTGGTGGGCAGGGGTTTTTCTTATCGGGCCATTGTAATATGGACCAGAACAGCTCGTTCCACTGTTTTGGGCTTTTTCTTGGGATGCAAGAAAAGGGGTCGTTGGCTTTTACGGTTGACTACGAGTTTGCGTCGAGGACAAGGCCGATTGAGGAGTTTGTGAGCAAGTATAAGGGGAATTATACGTTCACTGGGGGGAAAGCGGTTGGGTACCGGAACTTGTTTGGGGTTCCGTGGACCGCGTTTGTAGCGGATGATAGCCCGTATTTTATTAACGGGATTCTGCACCTGAGAGCCGAGCTTACGATCAGGCGGTAGGGTTTTCGGGACTTTTTTTCTTTTTTTTTTATTTGGATTGAGAAATGTATGTCTCTTTATATTTGGAAGCAAATGTTGTTGGAATTGTTTTACTGTGGCTTCTGTAGGAATTATGAACATATATATGCGCCTTTGGACTACGACAAAATTATCCCTCTCTTCCCCTTCTCTTCCGGCGGCGCCTGTAATCACAGGAACTATTTCCTGAGATTTATGGTGGTTTAACATGAAGAAATAACATTTGTCTTGTTGATTTACGTGCATTCTTGGTACTTTTTAGTTGATGCTGGAGTCAGGTAATTTCCATCAAAGGGGGAAAATTTCACTCTACCGGTGTCGAATTTTTTGGTAACTTGTGTACTAGCATCAAATTCTCACTGCAAAGGATATCTAAAATAAAAATTCACCTTGTTAGGTGACATATTGGTAGTCTGACGAGTCCATTAGTCATATAATTGGCGGACAGACGAGTCAGATTAATCATAATATATTTAGAATTGTTCAGAAAAGAGACATATGCAAATATCATGATGTTTTGTTACGAGTGCGAAAGAATGAATACTTATACTATTAAGTTATAAGAAGATATATTGTTAAATGTTGTCATATTAAATACAGTATAGTATTAGTGCATAACAACCCGTGCATGAAGAACAATTTATATTAATAGACTGAAAAAAAAAAAAAAATTGACTCGGAAAATTAGATGCATAAAAGGCAGTGCACTACATAACAATGGGATACAAAACTAAAAATTTAGCTGCTGCTTATTATTTCAACTGGTGAATCTCTCTCTCATGATCCAAAGCTTCACAAACAACGTCCATGAATCTCTTTCGGTCGTTAAGCTCAGGAGCAGTACTCCATGGGGTAAAGACGCAAATTTGAGCAGTTTTATCATCCCACCAAAAAAAATAAAACGTGCTCTACGTAAAGACTCCTCAAAGTCTACCACAATCACATTAACTAGTCATCTATCTGTAGTCGGTTTTCTGGTTTACAATGCATCTTCCTATTTGGAGTACAAAAAGAACTTGTTGAGAGTAGGGGTCGACATTCAAGGGAAGCCCATAAAGATCGAAATTCACGGTTCTTCCTCACAAGCCTACCAGGGAAGAAAAGTGCTGAATTTGGAACATATGGGCAAAGTTCTACTTATTGACATGCATTTGCCTAACATGTGTCACAACAGAAGTCAAGGCCATTTCTCAATAGTAACAACTCCTTTCATCAAAAAAGTAAAAGATGCTACCTTTTTGGATAGTTGGGTTTGTGAGGGGATTTTCGGGGTTTGTTTTTATTGGGATTTGCTGGGATTATAGTTGTAAGATTAAATGGGTAAAAGAACTCAGGAAATGGAGAGGGAAGCAGATGAAGGAGAGTGATAGGAGATGTATTGGGTCGACAAAAGCAAAATGTCACGAGCTGAGATTATTAGAAGAAAGCCTGCACTCTTAGATAATTGTTTTTTCATCATTCTTACTTTAAACTCAAGCAGATGAGTGAACATCAGGTTTTGCTAAAGGGTCAAATGTGCATTCTATTGGGGAAGAGTAAGACACACCATACCATACACAACACAAGTTCTTACTTCACATATACAGTTAATATATACAGAGGAAAAACATAGAATCATCCATAACCACATTACCAAACTAGAATGCAGCAAAAAACATCATATAAAGCTTAAATACCAACAAAGACAAACCATTTAAAACATCATCAAATGCATGCTCCTCTTATTAAAAGCACGAAAAAACATTTTTTCTTGATACAAACAACTCAAAATCCAACCAAACACCTCAACAAAACAATACTAAATTACCAAATCATAAACCAAACCTCACCTCAAATTCTTCCAGCCTTCTTAGCAAGCTTCGACCATTCGGTGTGGTATGCCCCTGACCGGTCAACCCTTTCATAAGTATGCGCCCCAAAATAGTCCCTTTGAGCCTGCACGAGATTAGCCGGAAGCCTCCCACGCCTGTAAGTATCAAAATACTGCAAGCTTGCCGACATTCCAGGGACACTAATGCCCTTCTGAATGGCCAACCCAACGACCCGCCTCCAAGCCGCCTGTCTCTGAACCATCTCCCGAGCAAATTCAGGGTCGACCAGCAAATTCGCAAGCCCCGGGTTCCTCTGGTAAGCTTGCTTGATCCTGTCCAAGAAAACTGCCCTAATGATACACCCGCCTTTCCAAATCCGTGCCAGCTCACCCAAATTCAAGCCCCACCCTTTCTCCATACTCTTTGCCCTCAGCAAGTTCATCCCCTGCGCATAACTGCATATCTTGGACGCGTAAAGCGCCTGCCTAACATCGTCAATCAATCTCTTCTTATCAACCGAGCCCACGTTGTTGTTGATTTCCTCCTTCAAACCCTCGTTCTTGAAAATCTCGGCTGCAGCTTCTCTTTCCTCTTTCAGACCACTCATGTACCTACTGTCCAGTGAGGCTGCAATGGTGGGTGCAGCTATAGAGAGCTCGGCAGCTTGCTGAACAGTCCATTTCCCGGTCCCTTTCATCCCTGTCTTATCCAGAATCTTATCAACCAAGTGCCCATTTCCAGTCTCCTGATCCTCCACCTTGAAAATATCAGACGTGATCTCAATTAAGAAGCTCTCGAGCTCCCCACGATTCCACTCCCCGAAAATCTCGGCCAGCTCTTCATTACCCAAACCTCCGGCGTTTCTGAGAACATCGTAAGCCTCGGAAATCAACTGCATATCACCGTATTCGATTCCGTTGTGGACCATTTTGACGAAATTGCCAGACCCGCCTTCCCCTATGTAGGTGACGCAAGGCCCGTCGTCTACCTGGGCAGCCACCTTCTCGAGTATGCCGTGGATGTTCAAGTAGGCCCGGTGGGACCCGCCGGGCATTAGGGATGGGCCGTACCGGGCCCCGTCCTCCCCGCCGGAAACCCCCATCCCTAGGTACAGCAGGCCGGCGGCGGAGGCGTCGTTCATGCGGCGCTCGGTGTTCTCGTACCACTCGTTCCCGCCGTCGACGATGGTGTCGCCGGGCTCCATGTGGGCGGCGAGGGCGGCGATGGTCTGGTCAACGGGGGCGCCGGCCTTGACGAGGATGATGATGGAGCGGGGCTTCTTGATGGAGAGGACGAAGTCCCGGGGAGTGTAGTGGCCGGAGAGAGGGAGCTGGCCCTCCCGGTGGGCGCGATCTAGGGTTTCGTCGACCTTTGAGGTGGTGCGGTTGTAGACGGAGATTGGGAACCCTTTCTCGGCGATGTTGAGGGCGAGGTTCTGGCCCATCACGGCCAGGCCGGCCAGGCCGATTTGGGATAGCGTGGATGACGCCATTTGTGTTTGGCGGCGGCTAAAAGCTTTGATGTGTGAGCTTGAATCTTGGTTATGGCGGAGTAAGCGAGGATGAAAATGTTACAGGGGCTTAAAAGCGATAAGTAGGTATATAAAAAAGGAGCACCATAACTGGATCTCATGGGCGAGGAGAAATGACGCAAGTATCCTCCACCTGAATTTAATCTGATTAACGTTTTTTTTTTATAGTTTATGTTTTTGCAAATGTTGCTCCACTCCACCTAACAAAGCAGGACTTTGGTTGATCTAATTATTATTATCTTCTTTCTTTCCCTTAACTTTTATGTATATTTGAGTTTATTTGGAAAATATGTATTGCCACATGGGATTTTAAACATTTAATGTAAAAAAGCATCTTGTATATAATAAAAAGTTTGAGTATATAACAATAATAGTTACTTTAAAAAAAATGTGTTAGTGAGATTGTAGGAAACTGACTGCAATGAAATAAAGTAGTAAAATTCTTTTAATTTACATATGAAAAGTTTGAGTAAATATAGAAGTAATAGAACATGAAATGTAAATTTTCCATACACTACTAAATGTTTCAATTTCCAAATAAACATCTGATTGTGATCCTCATGGATTAGGGGCATATTAGTCATTTATTAGATGAGTAAATATTAAATATATTGTGGTGAGGGAGGTGTGTGTCGCGTGGTGAAGGGCTGTGCGAATATTCCAATGTGCCCTTCAAACGTCGTCGTATGGAGTGGGCCGCATTTTGTTAGGTCGTAAAGGAAAAGGAAAAGGAAAATATCTAAAAAATACTAGAGTAAGTTAAATGAACAAACTGTTCATAAGCTCCGTTTAATTCAAGCTCCTTTATAAATGAACTGAGTT